ACATCACCGGGGCTTTTCTTCGACCAATTTTCTTGCAATCACCACCGTGATTGTGGGGTTTGCAATGGTTTTTGGGGGTCTGCAAGGGCTTAGCCTTACGCTCATGTACGGTAGGTATTCCAATAAATGTACTAATGCCACGCAACTCAGACAATGTCGGGGAAACAAATCATTTAAAAGAATACATATATGACAGGATGTAGAGGTCGATGGACAGAATATATCGGGGAGGGGTGGAGGGCCGAGGACAGGGTACAGCACCAATGGGCTGCAGGAATTGGAAAGGGCGAGGAACAAGAGGGAAGGCAGGACTTGACGAAGGAGGGTTTGACGGAGATGCTTGGTGAAGGAGGGCTTGACGGACACGCTTGATGAACAAGGGCTTGACGGACACCCATCGGACACGCTTGATGAAGGAAGGCTTGACGCGAACACTTGACGAAGGAGAAGTTGAATCGGAGCAGCTTCTGAAGACCTTGATGACACAAAGAATTGGTTACAAGGAGTTGAGGGGCTTGGAGGCCTTGGGTGCTTGCGACGGCTCAAGGGAGTGAAGAGCAGCAGTCTTGAATGCGGAAGAGGTGAGGACAGGGCCCGTAGGGCTCAAAGAGAAGCCCAGGCTTGCCCAGCTTGGAAAGGCGGAGAGGAGGAGCGGTGGGAGGTGCAGGGCAGGCGAACGACATGGGCGGAAGGGAGAGGAGAAGTCGAAACACCATCAAATTCTGATCAATGTATATAGGTGCGCACAGACCAGCCCACGTGCGCTTGCTCCTGCTTGATCCGTCGATCGCGTGCCGCAGGGCCGGTGCGCACGATATCGCTGACGTTTCTTAATATTGCTCCCACTCGACAACCTATCGATAAGCGGAAGTTGCAGTCACTTGGTAGCAAACTGTGAATTGCCAAGAACAAATGCATCAATTTGAATGTTCTTTTGTCTATTATATTATAGCAAGTTACATATGTGCACTGCGAGGTCCGGCGTATGACCGGCGCGGTTAGAGCGAGCTGAGCAGTCGACGCCAGAGATGGATAGTACTGTTTGAATTTATTTTGAATTTATCTAGATGCACATAAAGTCATTCGGCAGGGCGGATGAAATTAAGTGGGATAAAACACACCACCTAGGTGGCCCAGGACAACGTAACACCAGCCTGGGGACTCCGTGGCCAAAGTCTCACCAGCCTGGTACAACCTCTACAAGCATTGGTGACGACTCTGCAAACCCTTGCAGAACGCCATCAGCGCGGCGCATCTTTGCAGCCATCACCGGCGATCACCAGAATCTCCCGCTTTTGGTGATGCGGGCATGACGATGAATGTAACCAAGCAATCGCATGGGTCGTCGGACCAGAGCGCGAACACCCAAATTTCCGAGAGGAAGACCTGTGGTGCAACATGGACCAAAATATCTGCAGCAGTTTCGGTCGTGGGCTCGGATTCTCTTGCGGATTCTTCCGGACTCCGCACAATCACCAGATTCGAGATTTATAGTCCCGAAGGAGATCACACAGACCACAAGCTAGCCATAGATAGAAATGAGCAGAGAAAAGCACCTTGGACCTAGGCTGCTGACCGTACCGTGTATACGGGGACGGGGATTTGGTGTCAGGAATCAATGAATTGCCACAAGGGATTCAAAGTCCTTGAACACCAGTGTATTTTGTAGCAGCCACCCAGGTGCGCTTTTATCCCAATTTCAAAATGAAGCAGTGAATCTCGAGAGGATCTTCAACTGTGTATTTTATGGCAAGGTTGAACCTGTGCATAAATGCTGCATGTCAACCTGTGTCGTTTTCTGGGGAGACAAATGTGGTTGTGTAATTATTGAGGCATTCCTGGACCTGTGTCATTTTGTTGGTTCATCAAGTGTATAAATTCTGCGGTCGGTGTATGATCCTGTGTGAAAAAAATGCAACATACCCCGAGTGGTGTAAATTTTCATGAAAAACACTAGGCGGTGTTACAAATAATAATGTCTCGCTATTACAGCCATAAGCAGGTAGTGTGAATTTTAACCAAAAAAACACCAGGTGGTGCACAAAATAATAATGTTACACTATTACAGCCATACAAGCGCAGCAGAAAACTTGAACTTCCTCGTACCTCCAGAAAAAGTCGTACCCTTCAATTCTCCGCGACGTCGGACACAGGGCTCGGCCAGGACGAATTGACTCAATGGCCGGGGAAAACAAATTAATCAACCGAAACCGCTGCACGACCTCGCCTGGAGTCGCACCAGGGGCCCCTCTACACCGCCAACGGTCGGCCATGTAGTCCCCACCTGGGCGCAACATGTGTACGAGATGTCGTGAGATGATGGCCACCAGCTGTTTTTCGGGTGGGTGCCAGGTTCAGGAGCCAATAGGTCCAGCATGGAGCCAGGTCTACCTGGCCACCAGCTGATTTGCGGACCTGTGTACACCCGATACTGCAGGTAGACTTATTTTATTTTATTTTGCTCGCTTGGAACGCACAATTGGTATCGGGAACAACCGTATATTGAGAGCAATACATAACTCCGTATAACGAAGGTACGTACAAGGACCGCTCTACACACGAGCACTTGAGAAGATGACTATCGGAACAAGCAGTGGCGGACATGGATGCAAGATGAAAATTGCTGCACCGGAATAAAGGTTCCTTTCCTGATCATTGTTGCACACCGGAGGCCAACAGTGGCACGAGATGAAAATTCACGTCGGCGCGAGGGTGCACCGTTTGACTTTGACTTGGCATTCCTGGATTGCGACGGCGTCGAAGATGGGTCGAGTCCCACTTGAATTATAGAATGAAGTTGCGGATTGCAGATTTGATTGGGGATTTGAGAGGTGATCAACCGGAACACGCGAGGTGTATGAGGATCTTCACTCTTGAGGTCGCGTACATAAAGGGCTTGACCAAGGACTTGATTTGACCAGCAGATTGAATGGTCTTGAAAGTACGAACGACTTGCGACGCCTCGGAAATAGGTAGAGGTAAAGGCTCCGGAATCTTCCAGAGACAGCAACAGATGAAGCGAAGAGGCGTAGGCGTCGGAGCAGGCGGGGATGGCAAGTGAGCAAGCGCCGGCAGGAGGCCGTAAAACTGAGAAGCACGGTCTGCTCTGTGACCACTATGCTGCTCGTCGAAGGGATACAGGGGAGAGATGTTGAGAGCAAAGGTCATGTCTCTCCCAGATGTGCTGACGACGGTTGTGTCGCGGAAGGCACCAGACAGCGCACAAGAATCAGCGAGGGCTTGTTACGACAAGCACAGTACGACATTGGCGTGGAAGAGCGCCGAAGGTTGGATGCGTCGTCGTGGTTATGAGGGACATGGTGCGACGGGCGCTGATGCGGACTGAGGGAAGTGGAGGCAAGGAACAAGAGAAGGCGAAGGCAGGCGACCAACATGCACGTGATGAAATGCACAAACAAACATCGTGCACGGACCCTTTCACCGCTTTCCACTTTTGCCCGAGCTGTTCGAGAAAAAATCCTCTGCATCCGTCGAGTATTCTCCATACTCACAGCCAATTGGACCTTGGAACAGACCAGTATCATGAATCACTCATACAAAAATTGCATGACTTTCTAACCAGTGACATGATACATCAGCTCAACCCCAGCTGCGTCGGTTGGGATGTCGGAAGCAAGACAGATGTTGCATATACAGGGGGAAAGTTTCTGTGGAGTTCTCGTACTTTTTTCTTCTTCATCATCATTAGTTCTATGACTCCAGATGGTTGGAACATCTGAGAGGCATGTGGCTACTCAGCTGGTGGACAGATGGAAATTCGGCCTGCAAGGTTCAGGTGGTAGCAAGCTGGAGGCTAGCTGGAGGCAGGTTTCAGAAATCATGGCTTCCACATGAAAGCTCCAGCTGCTGGCAACGTGCGGGCACTTTGGCGGTGTATACATGCGGAGTTCTACACAACAAGTGAGAGTGCGCTTGCTTTCGCTACTAGATCTCTTTTCCAGGGCCACCGCCCTCTTTTGTGTCCGGAAACCAAGAGCTTCCGTGCGCCGCGTGCGAGTCCCCTGTACATGGCTTTTACTCACTGAACAGATTCTCTCTCGCAGAGGATATTTTTCGGGGGCGCGCGGCCTACGGGCGGCTAGCTGAGGTTGATTCACAAATTCGAACCTATGCTTACCTCCTGTTAAAGCACCGCAAAGATACCCAGATACAGAAGCTCGAATTACAGTTTGTACCGGCTCGATGGCGGACGGTCCGCACCTGCGTGAGTAATCTGTGCACTTCACCGCAGGAGGTGCCCGTTCGACTCGGGCTCGAGCCATGTACGGGTGATGATGAATTTCCTTTTCTTCTTCTTTGCTTTGCCCTCTGTGATTCAGAGATACATGGTATTTTCCGCAGCGCGCCCGGACCGACTCCGAGAATTTTGGACAAGGTTACTTTCGAAATTCGAGCGTATGCTTACCTCCTGCTAAGGGCCTGATCGGGTGGACGGCTTCCACGAAGCGGCCCTGTCAAAAAATAGACGGATGCCCCGTTGAGGCTGTGCTCCGCTCCGAGCGTGATTCGGCCCTGTCACCTGGGCCTGGGTCCATCATTTCGGATGGTGCCCTCACGACCATCAACCACTCGCCTCATCATCCCCCGCTCATCCACCGCTCATTCCCGCCCTCCCCACTTCATCCCGCCTTCATCCCGCCGCCCTTTCAGACATGTTTCAGTAGCTATTTTAATATAAAATGGCGGCTAAACATCTAATACAGTGTGTAAGCTGGGAGGTATTCAAATGCGCCCCAAATTTGAGCACTTTCAAATTCGAGATAAGTTGTCGGCGTCGCGGACGATGAGCAGAGGGTTGTCCGCATTGCCAACTCATCAACCATCAGCGCCAAGGGCTCTTCGGGAGAACTCCGGAACATGGTGACTGATGTGACAAGCTGAAGGCAGAGGCGTACGCCTTGAGAAGGCCGTCCACCCGATCAGGCCCTAAGGGACTGCAAAGATACACATATAGTGAAGCTTGAATCGCAGTTTGTACCGGCTCGATGGCGGACGGCCCGCACCTGCCTAGCTTGCGGTCGATTGCGCAGTCTTATCGCAGGAGCTGCCCGTTCGACTCGGGCTCGAGCCATGATACAGAACGCTTCAATTTTTATTTCTTAATTTTTTTCCGGACAGCGTCCATGATGGAATAGAAGAATGCCTGCTTGAGTGTCAACGGCGCAAAGGATCCACTAGCTCAGAGACGCAGTATCACCCCCACTGTCCATTCATGCACTACATGATTCAATTCACCTCAAATCACCCTACAAACCAATTCCGCGCTGCACGTACTCCTCGCCCCGCACCAAATAAAATGGAGCCCGACCATCTGCAGCCCGTACCGCTCGCCAAACCTGAGCGCGCCCCAGTGCCGGCGCGCCTCGGTGCCCCCCTCACGCTCCGGGGAGGGCTAAGTTCGGTGGTTCGCGGAAGAGGAAGAGCGCTGGGTTAGATCAGGCGTTCGCTGCGGGCGTGGGTTGTAATGCGGGTTGGGGTTGGGTTTCTTCGGGACTGTAAGGCCCGTTTTCTGCGCTCATCAGGTCTCGCTCCTCCCACTGCGATTATAAACGCACCACCCAATGCCGAAACTGACTATTCGTCGGCCGTACGGCGCTCAGCGCGTCCGGACCTAGCATCGCGAGCGTGTCTTGCGCCACCTCCCCCCCCTGTAGAAGGCCATTCTCCCCGTGTCGGGCAGCGCGACCTCCGCGCCGAGCGCAACTGGGTCGGTGGGGAAGCCGATGGAGATGAAGGCGCGCGGGTGGAAGGCGGGGCCGAGTACAGTGGGGATGAACCCGGCGCTGGCGAGCGCGGCGGCGGCGGCGGCGGCGGTCGCCTTGAGGGGGTCGACGAGCAGCATCGTGGTGGTGGGAAGTCCGGCGAGCACGAATAGCCGCAGCGCGACGTTCGTAAGCACGGTGCACGGTAAGCTTACAGTCGAACGCGCACGATCCGAGGTGCCGCTCCACGGCATCTACGACTGAACGGCGCGCACGCCCGAGGTCGGCGAGGCATCCCCGTTCTGCGCGCGCTGAAACACCAAGGGAGAGATCTGCGGTGTTGGTGTATTGTGGAGTTGCAGTATAACGTGTAGAGTCGTGCGCACATTCAGCAGTGGTACCTCCTTGGGCTCCTCGAGGCCTCGGCAGCGGCGTCCTCGGCGGGCTCGGTGTCGGCGGGCTTCTCGGCGGCATCGGCGACGTCGGAGCGGGTGGTGGGATGAATGACAGGAACGAGCCGATGTCGGACATCTTGAAGCGCGGTTTTCTTTCGATGAGTGTGACGGGAATGTCGACGTGATGGCCCGGGTTGGTTCGGTGATGGCACCGTGATGCGGACGTGGGGACAAACAAAAAGAGGCTTAGATTCGACGTTCACTCAGACGCTCGCTCGAATTGCCTAATAGCTCTTCTGGCTCTTGCTCTCATCCCCGGAGGCTCCGTTCTTGCTCTCCAACCGCCTGTTCTCTGCCCAGTGACTCGAACGACCCTCAAAAATGCTCCAAATGCAATCTATATAGCAAAACTGGATGATGTAATCTGACTTCCCTTTTCGGTACTGGCCATTTTGGATCTGTATCAGGCATCGCCGTCCTGTACCCCGTTTATCGGCATCGGCCCCCGTAAGTGCAGCACCTTAAACCTCGCAGCTGGAGGGTCCCTGAAGCCTTCGGGGCCTATTAAAAATGCCCTGTGCATTACCCGAGGTCAGTATCCTTCCCATTTGGAAAATTATTCGCTGTGGCTATGAGTGCCTCGACGAACGCTTTGACGACTGCGTTGGTGGGCGGCGTGGGCGGCGCGTCGTTCCAGGATACCTCATGCGCCCCCGAGCCGACTGTGAACAGTTCCTGCCCACTTTTCTGGTCCAGCGCGCGGCAGTGCGGGACGCCAACGGGTTCCATGCAGCGTGCGGCAGGCATGATGAACCTGTCAACGACTCGAGCGAGGCCCTGCGCAGCAACAAGCAGCTGGGCGAGGCCCTCCGTGGGCGGGCTCCCGTACGCGAGACGCTCGTGGTCATACATGTCGGGCGTGCCAGGGTGTTTTACAATGCGCCCGGAATGCACGTCGCTCTCGTTCCACGCGAGCGTTACCTATAAATGAGGTTTCAGGATAAAATGAACGAATGTCGACCGATAAACGATTCAACCCTCCCTCAAGACTTCTACTGAGCCAAAATTCTTGAAAAGACACAAGCTAACCATGTACGACCGCATCTTTCAGGGCCATATTTGCAGATTGAAACCGGAGTAGTTGGGCTATTTGAGTCCCAGAGGTCTTCAAGAGAGTTATGACTGACCTATGGCTATATTGACCATTTCCGCGCTCCCTCAAAATTACTGATATAGACAGCGATATTATCTTCCTCCTTCATTGTCATAATACTGCTTGCCTGTTTAAAGTTTCGACCTCCGCTAGGTAAGTGAAACTAAATATGTAGGAGCTAGTTCAACTCGAATGACAAGCTAGTAATTATCCTCTCCCTCAGATCTGATTCATTTAACAGCGCTAGGTCAAACAGGTCTACGGGGTCTTCGCATCCAAGAACAAGTTTTCGTCAAGCAGGTAGGGGGCTCCAAGAAGAAATGCAGCACATATCTAGGAGGCAGTTCAGCTCGAATTACATGCTAGTACTTGCCCTCGCACTCAGATAAGATTCATTTAATAACCCTAGTTCCCTGAAACCACTTTTCCTGCCGGTATCAAAATTACGAATTTCCTGCTGTATTTTCTCGGCATTCTGGTACAGCATGGGGGCTTCCACTTCAAATGCAAATAAAATAGGAAGTAGTAGCTGGGTGTAATGCTCTGCAATTCTGCCCCAGAACCATGACCTCCCTACTGCAGGACAAGAGTGAACATTTGATTTTAATTCAGAACATAGTCAAAACGAAGGGCCGCCTCAGGAGCTAGCCATCGACGACGAACCGGTCAAAATCAAGTGTGTATTGCATCCTCACAGTCAACTTCAAAATTTTTGTTTGCTACACAGCCTTCTGGAAATTGCTCGAGTCACATTCGAAGGTCGGGAGTTGAACAATGTGCGGGGATGAGGTCCTGCGATGGTTATGGTCGATGATTTTGATTTTGGCCTGAGACTAAGAAGAAGGCCCCTGTGCACCAGAGGCACCTCGTAGTCTTGATCTCGCGTCAAAGTCCACTGGTGACGGTAAGCAGGAACTAGCTTATGCCGCCTGCCGGTGTCACACTCACAGACTCGTCGGAGACCGCACCGGGCTCTTTGCGTAGGCGTTCCTCGTTGGATGCCATTGCAATTTGACGTAGATTCCGTAGGCGTACGAAGTGTGCCCGTGTCCAGGGGACAAGTGGAGAGGACAAGTGCTGAGCTGGAGGGTGTCTAGGTAATGCACGAGACAATGTGCACTAGTGAGAATTGAACTTGCGGAAGTCCAAAAATAGTAATCACTCCTGTTGGCATCGCGAATCCAGGTTAACTGAGGGAAGAAGAGGTCAGGCCCTCTGATGGTTATTTTTACTGGATAGTACGCCTCAAACCGAGCATAGCAGCCTCCGGGATCAAGTGATTCGGTGCAGGGACTGTCGAGATCCATAAACGGGAGACAGGAAGGGGATATCGGGAAGACAGAAACGTTTTGATGGGGAGACAGTAATTTCATATTCTCCGGACAAATTTATGATTGCTGAGGTGTAGAATATGTTTATCTGGCTGGCAAGAATGTATTGGATGTATGACAAGTATGTTTACTCCAGGGAACAAGAACGTGATATGACACGGACCAATTGTGTCGGCGCAGGTGACAAGACTAGCTTAAGGAGGAAACATAATCTCTATTCCTTGTACAGAATCATTATTCCGGAGTACATTTATAGTACACGCATCTATATAGTAGAGAGCTTGCGCAAAAGCCGCACGAGCCGCATGCGGCATTTTTGCATTGCGCAAAGCCGCACGGCAAAGTTGAAATGTGAGAGGTGTCAATCAATGTAAGCTTACCTGAGGTGAAGGAGAGGTGCTGTGGGGAGAGGGAACATCCTCGGCATTGCCTCTGCTGCGTGGCAGACATGAGAGTGTGGGAAAAGGAAGTGGAGCTCGAGTGATGCCTTTGTGATGCGTGATAAATGCGGCCTCCCACAGTTGCACATCCAACAAATAGCACTCTCAGGAGTGGAATATGGGATTTAAGGTGCATTGAATGGTATTTAGCAAGACAAGAATTAAAAACAGCAAAGAAAGACCCGCGGCTTTGCGCAATGCACAAAAGCCGCGTGCGGCTCGTGCGGCTTTTGCGCAAGCTCTCTAGTAGGGATACACTCTGCCTTAATACGGGCTCGATAGCGGACGGTCCGCAGCTGCACTTCGTGGTTATCTTTGCTCTTTGCGACCTCGCAGAGTTCCCTCGTTCGACTCGGGGTCGAGCCTTGATCCAGGCCACCTATTCTTTTTCGTCGGGAAGCCCCCCTTTTCCGAATGTTCTGTCTGCAATGTCCAAACCTCCCTGCTTCATCTTCACTTGCTCTGAGACTCCGCGGCTACTCTCTCTCTCCACCCGGCGCTGGTTTTGGAATCACTCAGATACTCAAAACAGGCGCTCAATACAATGGATAAAGCCAGCCCACAGGCTGATCAAGTACCGGCTAGATAGCGGATGGACCGCCTCTGCACCCTATATCTCCCTCTCCATCACCGTCTCGCAGAGTATCCCGTTATCCCATTTCCGATGAGCTTGAATTTTGTAGGGCGGGCCCTCGACAGATCTACATTCCCCGGTCTCCTGCGGGATTGTGTACCTCTTGATGGTCTCCAAGTATGGAAGAACGTCGTACCGGCTCGATGGCGGACGGTCCGCTTCTGTGCTGCATACCATGTCTGCATATGAGGATGCTGCAGATGATCCCCGTTCGACTCGGGGTCAAGCCACTGCTTTGGTCGCGCGTGCCTTTTATTTTGGGGCTTCAATGGAAAATTACTCGCCTCCAAATGTAACAGCCAAAGCAAGTTTTCGCTGGCTTGATAGCGGACAGTCCGCACCGGCGTTACATACTCAGTTGCGTGTGAATGTGCTGATGGTCCCCGTTCGACTCGGGTCGAGCCACTTTTCAGCAA